GAGAGAGAGAGAGAGAGAGAGAGAGAGAGAGAGAGAGAGAGAGAGAAAGAGAAAGAGAGAGAGAATTAGAGAGAACAACATGAGAATAGAATTTAAAAAAGCAAATCAACAGGAGAGTGTGTGAGTTTCTTTTTTCCCTAACTCTCAGGCAGAAAAATCTTAGCTGTGGACATCCCTTCCAATACTGTGCTGTCTGGAGGCTGGTTCTCCAGGCTGCAATAAATGGGCTCTGCATAGGGTCTGAATTCTGTGTCTGTGGACTTGCCTAATGTGTGTGGTTCATGTAAGCAGAAGCACATAACTGTGATCTTTGGTGTCTGGCATCTTTTACTTCACACAGTATATTCCAGGTTCCTGTGCTTTGCAGACATGGTTACATCGTCCAAGGGCTTTTATCATGATCTTTCTCAGCAAAAACACAATACCTTCTTTCATGTGTTCTGGAAGTAGAATATGTTGTTCAGCTTTAGGGTGTGTCTTCTGCTTCTAATAATTTAATTGAAAATCCTTCACAGGATGCCAGCAACCTGGGTTTTAGTTGATGCCTGATACAGTAAAGTAAGCCCTCAAGAGCAGCCACAACAGTGCCCAGTCCCCTGACCTTCTGGTTGCTCTTACATGTGACCTCTTGATTATCTAGTAACTAAGGTTTTCTCAGAAGGGCTACTTGCTGAAAACTTCATCACATTCATGATAGGCTTATGAAGGAACAACCTTTTGCCTTGTTCCCTGCTCTACTGTGAAAACCTGAAGAACAGGTGGCTGATGTCAGGTGTTTAATACAGTGGAAGAGTAACCAGTAAGTAAATAAAAAAAAACTCGATAAACTGACACAATGAGTCACTCTTTAAACTTGTCCAATGTGCAGCCCAAACTTGCTTATCTAATCTCTGTCACTCTCCTCAGATGACCACAGTAAATTCTTCTCCCCAAAGTGTGCGAGTTGATACCAGTTCTCTAAGTCGTCTGTGCTTGCTGTCTTGCTACCTTCTGACAGAATTGTCTCGGAGCCACACTTTGAATGGTGCCCCCTGAAAATGAGCTTCTACACACCGCACTGCTGGGACAAGAAAGTGCTTATGGGAAGGTCCTTTATTTAACATCATCAACTAGGAAGATGTCTCTGGATAACCATTGGCCAAACAACAGGCAGCTTTCAAATCACCTCTGAGATACTAAATTTTCATTTGTCTCACCAAAGTCTCTATCGCCTAGGGAGAGTTATCAGGACTTTTCCAAAGGAGGTTACTGGCACACCCTCCTCCACCAACAACAGAAATAGGACAACAAACAGTAGCCAACCCTTCAAGAACAACAGGGGAATGTGTAGCATGCCAAGAGAGGACCATGACACTCTGTCTTCTTCTGAATCTTGCCAGGTTGGGCTTGAGGTGTTTCCAGCTCAAGGGCTGTGTCTTTCCTGAACAATGACTTCCTTCTATGCTGGAAAACATTTTCAAACAGACCTCATGAGCTTACTTAAATCCTTCCAAGGGGTGAGATGTGGAGGAGGTCAGGGTGAGGAAGCAGGAGGTGGGAGGAAGAAAGTGATGCTCACAGGGAGCAAAGGGTTGCAACAGGCATCTCCAGATCAGGTTTGGGATTTTCTTCTTCTAGTCATAGTGTGGTACTAGAGAAGCTTCCAGAATTCTATTGAGAAGGAACAGAGGGAAGGTAGGTAGGGAGATGGGTTATTGTATAACCTTGGGGAGGCTTGTAGACATACTGTGTTCTCCATCATGGAGAGCAGCATTTCATGTGTGGCGTCTATGAAACTCATAAAGCCCAAAGTTGGAAGGTCCACAAAAAAACTGGGAACAGTGCACTCAGAAAAGCGTATATGAGATATGGTCATGTGAAACCACAGAGCTCAAGTTTGAGTTATTTTCTAATGAGACCAGACATTGAGGAGTGTGATCCAGTGAGAGGAAGGATCCATCACTAGGGTCAGCTTGTGAGGTCTGGGCCTTTACTCTGCAGCTGAGGGGAAATACTGAGATACTGTCACAACCTACATTGGTCTCAGCCTATTCTAACCCTGGGTGAACATGGGGCAATTTGGAAGGCCCTAATGGGTCATGTTGAGGCTTCCTCTGGACAGGACATGGCCACCATTGACCCATCTTACAGGATGTAGTGAGTAGGGAATGGTCCTTAGGGTAGGGGAAGGGAAGTTTCCACCCAACACCACTCTTAGACATGATTTTTTTTTGGCCAAAGAGAAGACTTGGAACTTCCTCAAGGTGTTCTGTCTGATTTCCACAAAGGACTTTGTACCAGAAAACACAGCATGAAGGATGGAATCAGGTTGGAGGTTTAGGGTCTGGTGGTGGAGATTTGGAAATCCTGGCCTGAGTCCCAGAGGTCTGTGCAGGAGGTCAACACAATAGAGTCAAGAGATGGAGAGTGTGGTTGCTAAAGATCCTGATAGAGTGGTGTAGGACCAATTCAGGGGGTTGAGACAGGACAGGTGATGAAAAACTAAAGATCCGAGGATACATTTTGAGATAGAAATTTCACAGAAAAAAATATATAGAATTAAAATGTGTAATATTAGAAAAAGTCAACAGAGACACAAATGTCTTGGTGGGGAGGACAGATGGATGTGAGAGTAACGGGCTGTGGTAGTTTGAATGATAATAACCCCACAGCTCAGATATTTGAATACCTGGTCTCCAGTTGGTAGAAATGTTTGGGACAGGTTAGGAGGCATGGCCTTGTTGGAGGAGATGTGTCACTAGGAATGGACTTTGAAGTTTCCAAAGCCCATGCCTTTCCCAGATAGTGCTCTGTCTACCTCCTACATGGATGAGATGTAAGCTCTCAGCTTACATCAGCACCATGACTGTCCAACTGCTTTCAGGATTCTGAACATGATGGTCATGGCCTCACATCTGAAACTGAAATCCCCAATGAATCCTTTTTCATCTAGGCTATGGTGGTCATGGTGTCTTAGCAGCACAATGGAACAGTAAGGCAAAGGGAATGAAGGAAGGACAGACCTTCAAAGATGAGACCAGAGAGAGCAGATGCACAAGAGGTCAGACCATTACAGGTCCCTGAAGAATAATTGACACAGCAAGGTTTCAGAAATACAGGCAAACTAGGAATGGTACCAACCATGTGAGAGTGAGCCAGTAGGGGACAACCCGTGATGTACCTCTTGTTCCCAGGGGCTTTTCTGAATGCAGTCCTTTTTCACTGTGCCATGGCCAAATTGCATCTACTCCATGATTTTTGGTGAGCTATTTCATTTCTAGGATCCCAAATCCATACATTCACTAAGTTCACTGAGAGAAAGATTCACGATCATCAGCTCTTTCTATATCTTAAGGTCAGAGATGCCTTCATGGGCCAGGAATCAGTGTGGGTGCATTCTGGGAATTACCAGGGGTCTAGAACACAGAGGCAAGAAAGCCCCCAGAGGTCAGAATTCCAGAGAAGTAGAGATTATTTTATTCTCTCCATGCTTCTGAGTGTGGTATCACTCAATGGCTAAACAGCAGCATCCATAGTGACTGAGAAAAAGGAGATTGCTAAGACATGTTCAGATGGAAAAGTGTGTGCACAGCTGCATGGAACCCTGGGTCTGATCATGGAATCACATAAAGGGATTTTACTGGGGCAAGCTTATTATCCTATGATTTGGAAGGTTGAGACAGGGATCCATGAGTTCAAGGTTATCCTTAGTTCTTTACATGGAGGCCAGCCTGGAATACATGAAACTGAAACTCTATATGAAAAAAACATAAACAAAATTCATCTTTTTCTCAAAAAAATACATTGTTTACTTGTTTACTGAAGTCTTAGATAGCATTTCTGGCTTGCCCAAGCTCCCATTCCTAGACTCATATGAACACATCTTACCTTCCAAGTGTATTGACAGTCTTTGGAATATCGGAATGAGACCTAAATATTCCACAACAGCCTGGAAGCCTGTTATGGTGGCACAGAGGGCTTTTCTCTCTCAAGATCCTGGGTGGTCAGGACGGCAGGACTGTTTCTGCAACACCACAGGATAGGCACTGGCATTGCATACAGGAACATTTCAAAATCCACAGTGGGAACACGGCTTGTTCCCTGTGGATGACTGCTGATGGATGTATCCCCCAGAAGACCTCTGCACAAACACGCATTCTCTTACTGCTGCTTGGGTGTGTTGTA